TATTCTTTCATAAAAACCTTCTAGATTTTTACACAAGCGATCATCCATAGATTTTTATAAACTTGCGCAAGAGAAATCTATAATATTAACTATCTATAGGTTTATCTCTAATACTGATAATTATTATCCATCTCTGTATTTACAATTACATATCACTGGCGGTTATTATCAAAGGTGAGGATTTAAATTCTTCTTTAAGATTATTACTAATACTGATAAGATTACGGTTTGAGAATTCATAATAATTACAGCTAAATATATGATATAAATTGCATATATTAATATATACGATTACTTATTTGTTTCATGAGCTGAGATTAAATAACAATGTCTTTTCCTTCCTTAATATTTCTAATCAAATTCTTGTCCCCTTTCGCTTCCTCTCTGTTTAATAAAACCTTCACCTCGATTAGTTACGATCAATCTGTTTCTTGATCCGGTGTATATTTAAAGATTGAGTATTTCCCATCGATCCGATCGCATAGTTAATCTGACGTCACGCATGACGTCATTTCCTTTGCAGCTTCTGTTTTGCGCAAATGGAATTGCATTCCCAAATAATCGTTATGTTCTTTTTTCTTTCTTGGAAAGCGGTTGACCGTTTTAGCCTTTTCTAGTAAAGCTAGTTCAGTTTCAGAAAGATATCGTTATCATGTAGGTTCGATCTTAAATGTGTAACAATAAAGAAAGTAATTAGTCTACTCGGATTTTCATTTGATGTTTGTAATAAATCAAATCTGTAAAACAAAGATGGAAAAATTCTCCTAGTTTTGTTGCGTAACTTTTACAATAAAACTGCCATGACTTTATTTAGTGAAAACTTTGGTTCTTATTTGATCTGATAGTTTCTCACCTTAATATTAAACATGTTCCTGTAACGTTTCGGTTGTTATATCCTCCGACCTTCATCAGATATATGTCGAGCCAGGTAACCTACAGTGAATTCCAAACTGAAACCTTTATTTATTCTACGGAAGTAGACGGTGCTCGTTTCACTGCGCATGTCTAGGAATATCGTCGAGTTCTTATTTTTAGTATTGCTTAGTCGTCATGTTCCCACTGAATCTAAGTACATACTGCCAGGCCCAGGGATTGAACTCATGATTACTATGTCAACAAATTCAATCCATGGGCCGGGCGGTGTGTATTTGGATTCGGGGGTAACAATGCGATTAATAAATGAGCAGTATTAAAAATAAGATTAGACGTGATATGCCTAGAAATGCGCAGTGGAACGAGCACAGTCTACTCCCGTAGATTAAATAAAGAATTTACTTCAGAATTCCCTGTAGGTTACCTGAATCGATATACATCTGATGAAGACCGGAGGGCACAACCGTCGAAACGTTGTGATAACAAAAAAATAGTCCACAGTGTAAATAAAGATAACTCCTCATCCCATAAATTTAGACAGAAATGAATTCATATAGCCTATAAGTTTGTACTGACGACAGATCTTTTCTTGAACGTTCAGATTGTCATATACTTAGACATAAGGCCCTTTCGGCAAGAGTTTCAATCCTATCCTTAACAAAAACCAGTGCATTGTAGTCTTTGTGAAGCATTCAACGCGTAGAATCTTATGCACAATGCCTCAGTAAGGATAGTAAGGGCGATAGTGTACTTTTAAACTACGATAAAAGAAAGCAAAAACATCGTCGCTTTTTTTCTTCTCGGGATTGGTCGTTCTTTATTTATGGCGTTCGTATAGAATTGAGAATGAAATTGGTTCTGTAGTGACAGTCAATACTTTTTACAGCAGGTTAGTTTTCTAGCTGTTTTTCATTGAAAGAGATTTAGCGTCTTTTACTTTGCTGGTAGTTGTGTAGATTCGCCAGTTGAACCAGATGAGAAATCTGACCGAATTAAAAAATCATTACTGTCATCATACTGATTATACAATTTTGCATGAAGTAACCACACTCAGTATTATTTTAATGGGGCTAATATACGAAGTGTGTGTTGTTAATGTCAAGATACATAAGCAATATTAAACAACTCTTTATTATTATGAAGACAGTAGTCAATTACAAATAACATCCATTTGATATATTTAATTATGGCAAAGTATGAAAATTGTTTTCAATATATAAGGGTGTTTCATTAAAACGGATCAAAATCAGAAGTAAATAAATCAGTGTTATTGGCGAATATTGATTTATTTCTCTATTAGAAATGTTATTTAAGTCATGACAATTATGTCTAAAAAATAATATCGCCAAAATATCCGCTAAATCTGAAAGAAAAGGAAAAAAAAATCATTAGACGCTTAAACTTAATTCACATTAAAATCGGTCCAAGTTATTGGAACACTCTTTACTAGCCGAATCCATTGATTGTTGTTTGATGTTTCATCCCGCAATATTTATATAATTTCACTGATTATAGCTGTGTCTACGATCCGTCGAAAGCCACAGTTGACTGTCACAGAATTCATTTCTAGTTCGAGTAAGCAGGATGGGCTGTGTATAATTCGTCCGGATTTCTGAATACAATTACA